TTACAGACATTCTGTTCACGTGAGCAGCTGTCAGTTGGCACCTGTCATCCTCCAGACGCACGAAGGAGCGTGTCTGAACCAATCACTTTTGTTGGCATTGATCATCTGACTGATTTAAATACATCTTAACATTCATGAGGTACTTTACATTGACTGTTTCTGGTTGAGTGTGGGCGTGTAGAGGGTAGAACCTGAGGTGGGACCTTGTACGCAAACTCTGAGATGAGGCTGTGATCTAAAAAGGAAAGATGCACAGAAACGTGCGTAAGCACAGTTTTATGAATATGAAAATTTTTTTGGCGTACGCCATTTTCGCCTTTTGGCCATATGTTCATTTTTAGTATGGTTTCCATGCAATCCTTTATAAATCTGACCCCTGAACTTTACAGGCRGTCCATTTTTTTTTCTACACAGCAKCAACTTTAAATAAAATCCTTTTCTCTGTTTGAGACAGTGATTGATAACTGGCATAATACTGTTAACAAAAAAATACACATTATAGGACTGTAGCACCAATTTATTTCTATTGTGTTTTTCAGAAAACTTGTTGATTAACAATATAAAGTTATTGCATTTTTTTCTAAATAAACACTACATAAACAGCTGTACATCAAAGCTGTAAATAAAGATTAAACTTAGTTTTTATCGTGGCTCTTGATTAAAAATGTCTTTTCGGAGACCAATTTTCCACATTTTGTTTGAATTAAACAGCGGCCCAAAATGCAAACATAAAAAAAATCAAAACTATTTAATTGTGTTTTTTTAAACATTTTAAAGGCAGATTCTGGACTCTTGTGATATTAAATCTGATTATCTAACCTGTTGGTTTCTTGAACGTCGTCTGGTGGAATAGAGTCTGATAGTTCTGGTTCTTGGTTCTTGGGAAACATGGTCTGTCTTTTCATTGCTATGCTGATGTTTGTCAGATCTACCTGCCATTGAAACCTGAAAATAGAGCTTGCTCTTCCCAGTTKCTATTAAAATGTCTTGATGACATTAAGGATTGTATGGCTGCAAGTTTTTTAAGTTTTAAGGACAGGAAAACTGAAGTTATTTTGTTTATAGTGCTAGCCCTAGTGCTACTGCTGACACCATTCCATTTAATTTTGGCTCTCTTCAGTTGTATTCGAAGCAGTCTGTTGTAAATCTGGGAATGATTTTAGATTCTGATTTGAAGTTTAAGAAGCAGATCAACTGTTTTGCAGAAAAGTTTTTTTCAGCTAAGACAGATAGCCAAGCTCAAACCAATATTGACTAGACCTGACCTGGAGAAAACAGTACATGCTTTTGTTACTAGTCGATTAGATTATTGCAATGCACTTTATGTTGGGATCAGTCAGGTTTCCCTTTCACGTCTTCAGCTTGTTCAGAATGCTGCAGCTCGACTTATAACTCGTAGGTTTGAGCATGTGTCACCGGTCTTGTCTTCCCTTCACTGGCTCCCAGTGCGCTGTAGATAGATTTTAGAATTCTCCTGCTCAGATGACCCTCTTTGCACCCTCTTATCTCACTGGTCTACTTCAGCCATACAGTCCTTCTCAGGCATTAAGATCTTCTGATCAGCGGCTTTTGGTCATTCCTAAAACCAGGCTGAAATTGAGGGGAGATCRAGCTTTTTCAGTCGTGGCTCCCAAGCTTTGGAACAGTCTACCCCCCAATGTCAGACAGGCCTCATCACTTCCTGTTTTTAAATCTCTATTTAAAACACACCTGTTTTCTCAGCTTTTTGATTGATTGTGAGTTATGTATTTGTTGTTGGTGTTTTATCTTTTATATTTTTAAGAATCTCATTTGTTTTTTATATTGATTTTTGCCTTGTGTTCGGCACTTTGGTGACAACTTGTTGTTTTTAAATGTGCTTTATAAATAAACTAGATGATGGTTGGTCAACACTAAAGTGGACTGCTGCCCTCTAACAGCTGCTTGTTGTTTTTCTTTCGGCTGCTCTCTTCAGGGATCGCCACAGAGAGCAAGCTTCAGTGAAAGATTAGGTGATTGTTGGACTCTGGATAGTCTGGCCTTTGCCTTCCTACACAGTTCTGCTCGATTCTAATCTCCCCTCACTGCTTCATCTGGTTTTTCTCCCATTGACATGGATTTCTTTGGTAGAATATCAACTGGGCCAATCAGTGAACAGAAGTTGTGAACAATGAYRTTGATTTTCTGCTCTGTTTTAGTCTGTCTGTAGTTTAGCAATGGCAGTGGAGGAAGTGAATGAAGTCATTCAGTCTGTGTTGACAAGGCTTCCAAATTAAATTTGTGTCTCAAAGCCTGCAGCTCTCATTTACAGCCATCTCATTCAGCTCAGCGCTTCTCTCCTCTCAGTAGAGGATGGTTGTYTACAGCCCACGCTATTTCTGGTCAGCTTCCTAGCTTAGCCTCCTTCACAGTCGAGCTGGTGCACTACATACATCATGGCCAAACATTAGAGATTGGATAAATCTGATCCAATTGTTTTAAATTTCAACAGTGGCCACGCCTCCAGGAAGAAATAATTTCTCAAAAGCAGAGTCCAGACCCTCTGTACGAAGCAAAGAGTAGAACAAGGGGCTGGTTTTTACCAGGCTAACTCTGTATGTTCTTCCTGACACAAACTGGGCTCAAACCACTGAGCTACCACTGCCCCATCTTACTCCAGCTGTTTCATAAACCCCAGGGTCACTCATTTCCACAYCTTTGTTGCTCCGCAGAACTTTTTCAATCCTACCAAATGTTGGCGTTTCTAATGCAGTCTGGAGCTGTTTTGCAAAATATTTCCCTATTTTTGCCCAGATTTCTGCCATGTAATGCAGAATTAGCTGTATAAAGATCTGTGTAAATCTAAAAGTTTAAAATCAAAGCAGCTGGACTTGAAGATGTGCTTTATCATTTTAAGATGCATCACCTGAAACATTATAAATGTTTTAAGAGAACACTTGAGTCTTGATCCTTGAAGCTCATGAATTTGTCAAAATGAAACCATTTCTTTTAAAATGAGACCATTCAGTGAAGGTTTGGGTGAAATGTGTACATTTTGTTTGCTTATTTACAAGTCATAACTCTTTAAAGGTCAAATTAAATTGACTTCTAATGTAGCATAAAACCGACCTTTAGACAAAACAAATTCAAAAAGCTTTTTACATCAGGTAAGATTATAACTTTTACACCGAGTCCACCTTCAACACAGCTGTGATGTCACATTATTTGGCTAATTATTCCATCCCTGCTGTTTAATACAAATAAAATGTATTTACACAACCTAAAGGACCTTAATATCATCAGACTTTCACTTCCTCAAATAGGTGCTTAAAATACAATTTWAAAAAAAGGCTGCTGCTGCATCATCAGTCTACCATTTATATCTCCAAATAACATTTATCTTGGTCTCAATGTGGGGAAAACCCTTGTCCTGTCATTGTTTCAGATCTGCAGAATCCAGCCTTTAAACAAAAAAATAAACTACACTTCAGTGAAAAACYGTGCTGCGACTGCTGTGAGGCCGTTCTCAGTGAGCGATGTCACGTTCTTCCTCGTGTTGCCTTGTCTTTGAAATCCCCGCCTCATTTTCTCGACTTTAACAAGGTCTTTTTACACACGTCAGCAATGTCCGGTAAAACTCTGTATATGTTGTAATATATTTTATACTGTCGATGAAAGGTTACTTTTTTTATTTTCACGTCATGAACTCGTGCTCTGTTTTTAACTGAGKCTGTGAGTCGTCAGTTTATGGCTGTTTGTGGTGATTACAACTGAAACGTACATTTTTGTAAAGCTGTATCATTAAAACATCCTGTTTGTACCTCTGCCTGCTGTGTTTTCTCCTCAGCTGTCCAATAAATCTGAGGTCCACTCAAATTACCTTTCATACAAACAAGGACTTGAAATTCCTTGAAGAAACACACATGATCAGAGTTCAAACTAARATTTTTTTCAGTTTAGTGAGTTGATTAGAAGTGGCGACTGTCTTAAATTGTGTTTTGAATATTATTGTTAATCCATCCATTACTCTATAAAAGTTTGTATAAAATATGTAGTTTGGTAATAAACAAGCAAAACCATGATTGTCTGCTTTTTGTTGGCAGTTGATTAAAACAAAAGTCCAGTTAAAGATGCAGGATCTGACTGCTACATTAGCACCTCTCGTTCATACAGTTTTGTTTTATTGTTTTCATTTTTTAATTTTTTGTTTTTCCACATTAAAAGCTGTGATGGATCCATGTGAACTGGACAGACAGAATTTCATAAACTCAGTGTTGGGCAGCACTAATCTAAAAATTAGTTCCACTAGCCCTAAAACATTAACTCAAATATTTGAGTCCCCTAATTCTATAATGCACTGGAAATATTAGCAAAAGCTAATTCTAAAGCACTAAAATAACCCAGTCAACCCATGAACATTCTTCAACAGACAACATCAGTCACATGTTGCTCTTTTAAGACTCATCATTGACATTCCACAGCTGTATTTGGGTTCATATATTGTCAATATATTGTCACATWGTGGATAAGTGACACATATGAACMCAATGTGTGACARCTTTCACCTTCAGCTGTWAACATTGATCAATAAGATTTATAACCCTCAGTTAGAGCTTCTAAATTTAGCCTATAGATTTAGCAAGTGCTAATCCACTAATAAATTTTAAAGTTTGCAAAAGCCTAATAGGGGAACTAATTTCCTGATTAGTACTTTAGGGGAACTGTGCCCACCACTGCAGCTACTGATGTAGGAGAAGAGGTGTAAAGTAACAAAGTACAAATACGTTTTAACTTTAAGTTTTAGCTTTCAGTAAATTTTGGTTCCCTATCCTTTACTTGAGTTTGACTTTACTTTTTACATCTTCTTTCAATTTAAAAAAGTGAAAACGTTTTAAAATCAAAATTTTATCACAACATTATAAACATTATGACCTTTTAGATGAATGTTTTTTGGGGAGGTCACCTCCCAATAAATGTCATTTTGAACATTGTAATTGCTCATTTTTACTCAATACTTTCGATGCTTAAATATCAAAGTAATTTTCTGATATAAAATTATACTTTAAAGTTTTTACTTAAGTAATGCTCTTAAGATACTTTAACTTTTACCGAAGTGATTGCATGGTAAGATACTTGTACTTTCACACACTTTGAGGTACTTTATACAACATAGCAGCCTATTTAAACAATTTCTATTATCACTTAATACAATCTTAATTGGTTTTTCTAAGTTTAGGTTTTAGTTTCAAAGTGTGTGCTGAAAGTGTTAATAACTAAGAAAATTGTCAACAGTGCAAAAATCTATTTTAGTAAAATTAACCAATTTTCTTTTTCTCTGTAAATATGGACGTTATCGCCACCTAATGGTGTGATGTGGGTAAACTTATATTAATTTAGAGCTCATTGAAACAGACTTAAAAAGAAACACACAAATAGATCTGTAGAAAAACACACTCTAAAGATGGAAACATTAAAAAGATGAGTAAATAAAGCCGTTGTCAGTGTTTTATCTGTTGGAAAAGGAGCAGGAAGAAGTATAAAGTATAAAATATATATAAATACACAGAGCCATGTGGAAATGGCCTTTGAGTTCAGGTTACCTCCACCACATAGAACTGGGTCAGGATTTTGACACGTCWGGACTCGAGGGTCCCATTGTCTCTAAATGCATCCCTGAGCTCCACAGCCTGTCTYAGTGATGGATGGTGACAGCTGGTCAGCCAACCCAGTGGGTCARAACCCTTTTTACCAGCAGCTCACCTTACTGAAGGTTCTACAGCAAAGGCCTCACTGTCTGGATCCTTCAAATGAGCTCAAAAATGGTTCAGATCCCTCTGTGTGTTAGGCCTTAAAGGGTCTCTGCGTGCAGGAATGGGATCTGCTCGGCCCCTTAAAATAGCACATCTGAAGGGGGTGGGGTGGAGAGCTTCTGCCTGGTGAAAAACACAGGTTGTGTTTGTGCCGGCTTGTAGGGATTGCACCATCGACCGACTGTTGCTGCCTCTCAGATGTGGTCTCACCAGAATCGGGCTGGGGTCTCTGAGGGGCCACRCTGACCCAGGAGGAACTTTCTGCTCAGAGGAACCAGTAGCCAGGTTTAACTTGAAACAAGGTGAGCTGACTTTTTGTCTTTTCTATCCTTCTTCATGTTRCTGAAGTTAGTGGCGTCTGACAGCACTGTCTGATCTGAAACTGGGTTCAGATCAGTTCAAGAAAAAACCCTGATCCCAGCTTTGGACCAGTAATGATTCCTCCTTTGTGTTTGTTTCAGCACCAATGGGGGATTTAAAGCAGATGATCGGGGCCATGTCCCAGAAAATATGTCCAAGTTCCCAGGCTTCTTCTGAGGAGGACCTGAAGGCACCTAATGGCGTCCAGGAGAAGATGCATTTGAAGAGGGAGATTTCTCTCCTTAATGGGATCTGCCTCATCGTGGGCAACATGATCGGTTCTGGGATTTTTGTCTCGCCGAAGGGCGTCCTAAAGTACAGCGCCTCTTTTGGGCTGTCTCTGGTGATTTGGGCTCTTGGGGGGATCTTCTCTGTTTTTGGGGCACTTTGCTATGCCGAGCTTGGCACCACTATCCCCAAATCTGGGGCCAGCTACGCCTACATCCTGGAGTCCTTCGGCGGCTTCCTGGCTTTCATCCGTCTGTGGACRTCCATCCTGCTGATMGAACCRGCCAGCCAGGCTGCCATTTCTCTGACCTTCGCCAACTACCTGGTGGAGGCTTTCTTCCCAACGTGCATGCCACCATACGATGGCATTCGTCTCATTGCTGCAGCYTGCCTCTGTAAGAAACCTTTCTGTGTGAAAGAGCTTCATAAGTAGATTCTACTAAAAACCAATTGTTTGGCCATGGTCAAAGCTGGTACTGTCACATATTCTGGTTAATTTACTTGCATGACAACTTTAGATACAACCATTCACACTTGGTGTTAGGATGTGTCTGAGTGATCTGATCTTAGACACACACACACACACACA